AGGATATGATCACCGCAGGGATGGACACGACAGCGATAACAGCGGAATGGGCGATGGCGGAAATGATCAAGAATCCAAGAGTGCAACAAAAGGTTCAAGAAGAATTCGATCGAGTCGTTGGACTTGACCGGGTCTTAACCGAGCAAGATTTCCCACGCTTACCATACTTGCAATGCGTGGTTAAAGAATCATTCAGGCTGCATCCTCCAACGCCTCTAATGCTCCCTCACCGAGCCAACGCAGACGTCAAGATCGGAGGCTACGACATTCCCAAAGGATCAAACGTCCATGTAAACGTTTGGGCAGTGGCTAGAGACCCGGCCGTGTGGAAAAACCCATTTGAGTTTAGACCAGAGAGATTCTTGGAAGAAGATGTTGACATGAAAGGTCATGATTTTAGGCTGCTTCCGTTTGGAGCAGGAAGAAGAGTTTGTCCCGGTGCACAACTTGGTATCAATCTAGTGACTTCGATGTTGAGTCATTTGCTTCACCATTTCGTTTGGACACCGCCTCAAGGAACTAAAACAGAGGAGATTGACATGTCTGAAAACCCTGGACTCGTTACTTACATGCGTATTCCTGTTCAAGCCGTTGCCTCGCCTCGGTTGCCTTCTGATCTGTACAAACGCGTGCCTTTTGAAATGTAAATGTCTCTCTCTGGTCTACCTTCTGCTGATGCTCTTGTTGTTGTTTGTAGACATGTTTCTTTGTGGTTTATCATCAATAACTTTTGATGAGATTAGTTATGTCCATTGTCTCAAGAACAAGCAAAGAACTCAACTTCTTTGTCATTGAGTTTACGATCTTTGAATCGGCATTGCAATGTTGTATGGAAACATAAGAATAAACATGAAGCCAATATACATAAGCAAATTGCAGGAAAACAGAACACCTATTACCAACAATACATTACACACACTGGTCCGAAACCAAGGTATCTCAGACTTATTTATTCTTACATGATTTTACATAAATTAACTTTGAACAAGTGAGATTCAAGAAGATGATTCCTTAAACTCCTGCAACTGCTTGAAATTCATCCATGGCTTTACCCAAACTTTAGCTTCGAAAATCTTCGTCTTGTCGCCTTCTTTTGCTTCTAGTGTTAAGTGGTACATGGTTCCTGCAACTACCTGCTCTCTTGCCTTTACAATCTTCTTGAATTCAAGAACCTTGTTCTGTACTTACCCGAGAAAAAACTAATCAGACAAAGATTCTTATTAATTATTTTGATAGGATTCATAACCAGAAAACAGAGGAATCAAAAACCTCTTTGTTGTTGTGTTCTTGAATTGCAAATCGAGCAAGACTCTCGATCTCTCCACTGTTCTGGTTTCCTCTGAGATCATGAACACCTCCTAGCTTCATCGTCTTCGCTTCTGATCTGCAAATCCCTAATTGAATTGTTGTAGCACAAAGAAGAATGGTAACGAACCAGAATGTAATAGAACCAAAGGCTTTTGATAACATCTTTGATACAGACTAATAATTATGATGCTTCTTTACCATTTCAGATTCGTAAGTTGTGGTCTTGTCGGTATCTTTACGTTGCTTGGCGATTAAGGAAAGAAAGCGACAAGTCATGGAACGAATGACACGTGTGCTCACCTGAGAGGCTGAGCGTTTCTTTCTTCGGGGAAAAAAACAAAAAAACGGCAAGATGTGTGTGGTTTACCTTCTTTTGACACCGTTCCAAACACATGAAAACGGCATGCATTCTCCGACTCCAATTGGGGGAATTCGTCGTCGTCACTCCCTCGTCATCATCATCACTCGATCGTCGCTCTTCTTTGCTTGCTTCATCGGCTAACCGTTTGGTTCTGTGTTCATCCGGTGAAGAAAAATGGTGATGGAAATTGTGGAGCCAAACACTTGCATTAGAGGGTGTTGCAACAGTAAATCGATTCCTCTTCATCTCTCTCCTTCTTCTTTCACTCTTCTCTCTCCAATCGCTAGAGGTAATGTTTCTTCTCTTCCCCTTTCTCTCTCTCTCGCAGTCTGTGTTCGATTGAATTCGATTTGTGTGGACATTTGTTTCAGGATCGGAGAGTGTGGTTTACGAAGCGATTCTCGACGGTCGAAGAGTAGCGGCGAAGAAGCCTATCTTGTCTACTTCCGATGACCTCGACAAGTTCCATAGGCATTTACAGCTCTTATGGTCTCTATCTCTTTACTCCATTTGAATAATTTCTCACTTGAAACCCATTTTTGCACAATGTTTGATTTACTTACTTTGTTTTTGGGTATTTGGTGTGAAAGCAATCTGGATCATCCTGGTGTGTCTAAGCTACTAGCAGCACACGCGAAGCCTTCAAATTACATGTTTTTCTTTGAGTTCTACGAGTCTGGGACTTTGGCTGAGAAGTTACATGTCGAGGAGTGGTCTCCGAGTATTGATCAAGTGCTAATGCTCACGCTTCAGTTGGGTATGTATGAAGGAACGTTCTTTTTGCCATTGTGTCTCAGTCTGAAGATTTCCTGTGATGGGTTTTCAGTGGATAGTTATTCTGTGTGTTTCATGTTTCAGCAAAGGCATTGCAATATCTCCATAACAACGGAATTGTTCATAGGGATGTGAAACCAGCAAATGTTCTTGTAATGCTCTTCTTTCATAGTCTAGATTTTCTATCTTCTTATATGCGTATCTCATATAGAATAGCTAGTTCTTCTGTTTCCTTAGGAAATCTTTATGTTAAGGTTAAGTGAGGTTTTATTGATGCAGCTTGACGAGAAGCTTTTGCCATATCTGGCTGACTTTGGTTTAGCAGAATACAAGAAAAATTTGCGAGAAGTTAATCTGCACAACTGGAGATCGTCTGGAAAGCCAACTGGTGGATTCCACAAAAAGAACATGGTCGGAACACTTATTTACATGGCACCTGAAATACTAAGGAAAGAGATGTATACCGAGAAATCAGATATCTATAGCTTTGGGATTTTGATCAAGTAAGAGTTATCATTGAGTAGAAATTGTAAAATTTCTTCCCCGTATTTTCCTTCTGATACTTAAATTTGTTTGTGGTATGTTGAGCTCTCTTCCTAAAAGATCTTTTTGCTTAGGAAGTTTTGTTCCATCTTTTTGCATTGCAGTGAGCTTTTAACTGGAGTTGTTCCATATACTGATCTTCGTGCAGAAGCTCAGGTTAATATATCTTTCCTCATTTCGCATTCTGACTTGAACATGTCTGCGAGAAGCCTATGTGCATTCATTTGACTGTGCAGAGATGTTGTTACATTTTGGCGAGAACAATTTCATTGGTTTCTGGGATAAATATATATGATTTCATGGAGATGTAGTCAATTAGATAGGTAGTTCAAGTACATATAAACGCATTCCTGTTCTTTTCATTTGTGACACATAGTGTACCCTGTGCCATCTGGATGGCAGGCGCACACTGTTTTGGAGATGAATTACACAGAGCAGCTACTTACAGCTGCCATTGTGTCTTCTGGTCTGCGACCTGCTCTTGCTGAAATTGGATTGCACGTTCCTAAGAGTTTGCTGTCTCTGATAGAAAAGTGCTGGGAAGCTGATCCTTCCAAGCGACCTTCTTCGGACAATGTGGTTTTGGAAGCAGAATCAATTTGGGAACAAGAAAGAGAAAGACAGCAAGGTCTAATCCTTGAGAAAACTTCTATTTCCAGGATTGACAAAGATGGGGATGCCATTAAAAAAACAGGAGATTACTTGGAAAACATTAATTGGTCCAGCCAAGGGGAGTATTTATCCAAGAAATCTTTTCTTTCCACTGTCTCTGGTGTGACATTGTGGTCTAGTTCAACAGATGAATCTTCAGGATATGTCCCTATAATCTCTTGTGGGTCTTTTGCAACATGCGGAAGAAGAGAATCCATGGAAGATACACATTTTCTCCTGCCCCACATGTGTAATGAGGAAAACATACACTTATTTGCTATCTTCGATGGTCATAGAGGTACACCAACAGGAATTTTAAACCCAGGAAGCATCAAACTCCAAAACTTTCAACGTGCCTCTCTCTTATTACTCAAAATCACTTAGTATAATAGCATCATAAATGACATGCAGGTGCTGCAGCTGCTGAGTTTTCTGCTCAAGCTTTGCCAGGATTAATCCAAAGCTCTTCTTCCACAAGGTTTAATGCTCAGCTCAAGCTTTCCTACTCTTCAGCATGGTTTCTTCGATAACTCATTACTATGTCTCATTTCAGCGCTGGCGAGGCACTGTCACAAGCATTTGTTAAGACAGATTTAGCTTTCAGACATGAACTTGATTCCCATCGTCAATCAAAAAGGGTGAGTCAGAAAGACTGGCATCCTGGTTGTACTGCTATAGCCTCTCTCCTAGTGGACAATAAGCTTTTCGTTGCCAATGTTGGTGACTCCAGGGCAATTTTATGTCGCGCTGGCCACCCTTTTGCTCTAAGTAAGGTGAGATGGGACTATCATTACTGAAATGTGCTAATTTTATTATCATTAATGACTCCCTGCTCGCCACTTCCCCTGTAACTCAGCTTTGGCATTTGAAATCAGGCACATCTTGCAACGTGTATTGAAGAACGAAATCGTGTGATTGGAGAAGGTGGGCGTATTGAATGGCTGGTTGACACATGGAGAGTTGCTCCTGCTGGTCTTCAGGTTCGCCCGTTATTTATTTGACTGACTTCCTCAAAATAATATCAGAATGAAAAAAATAGCAGACAATAGAGGAAACATGAAGTTGGTCCATTTGTTGACAATTCAGTTTACCTTCCTTGTTACAGGTTACCCGGTCAATAGGAGATGATGACCTGAAGCCATCTGTAACCGCAGAACCAGAGATTAGTGAGACCATTCTATCAGCTGACGATGAGTTCCTGGTAAATTTGATCTTACGTTTGTGTCATATTATGGAAATTTCGGTTTTGTGTCACCCGTTGGGATATATAATAGGTCGGCACTGTTAGGTGATGGCGAGCGACGGGCTCTGGGATGTTGTGAACGACGAGGAAGTTATTAATATAATCAGGGATACTGTGAAAGAACCTTCAATGTGTTCCAAGAGATTAGCAACCGAGGCTGCAGAACGTGGTAGTGGCGATAACATCACAGTCATTGTAGTCTTCCTGCGGCCAGTGTCTACAGCTGAAAGGATCTACTAGTAGCCAATTCTTGCACATTGTTATTGAAGAGGAAATTCGTGTGATAGTTCCACATTATTATATCTCTAAACCAGAAAGCATATAGAAGAGGTAAATTACTGGGAACTTAACTCGAGTGCATATAATCCTGATTACATCAGTTGCATTATTATTGATTTTTTTATACATAAACATTTATGGTACTTAATGTTTCAGAATAACGTGATACAATAGGGGATGAGAAAGAAGAAAAATAAGAAGTATTGGAGTGGACGGCTAAGTCTGCTCGTCTCATTATCCATTATGCTTTCTAAGGTATAAATAGTTAGCCTACAGCCTGCACTATGGTCATCTTGGCAGTAATGCACACTTGTACCTCTATATATAAACACCTGAAAGTTAAACCTTCTGAGATTTCATCTCTTTGGTTGTCCTTTTCCCGTTTTCTTTTTATTGTTTTCCTCAAATTTCGCAGGAGCATCCTAATCTTGGCGTCGACCCTTTGCTCAGTGCATCTTGCAAAAGTGTCTGGAAGCTCTGCAGGAACATATCCCATTCAAATGTTGTCATGTCCCCGAAAGAAACGCCATGGTTCACACAGATCTGTGGGCTCCTGCTCCTCATGGTGCCTCCTCTCTTCTTTTCTTTTGCATTCACAGTAGGTATGGAGTTTACCCGTGGCCCTTTTGGAGCCAAAGGTGGTTTAGATACATGAAAGACCTCCGAAATCTCTGCTTCACATGGGCTATCTCCACCGTCAAACTTAAACAGTCCACACTCTAGCTCTGCGTTCACTTCGTTTCCTTTGTGACTATAGTCACCGCCTTCATCAAGTTTGCCAACTACACGTGCTTTTGCTTTGGTGCAGAGGGTCTCCAACAGACTGAAACCCTCTTCACCTCTAGAGAAATCCCGAGTCATCTTCTCGCCTATCTCTGCGAGACAGAGCTCCGCCGCTGCAGCTTGTTTTAGGAAAAGCGTGCAGACGATGAGGACCCGTATAGCAGATTCCGGCAAAGAGTGTAGTTCATTTCTCAGAAGTTCTGCGTCTTTGAAAGGGTCCAGATTGGATATATACTGTAGCTCGGTGTCGGTGAATGGAACCAAAGCTTGAGGCCAGTTTAACCATTCAAAGTAAGGATCATCTAGGCATTCAGGAAGGCAGAGACCATGGTCTATAGGCACAAGCTCAGCGGTCCCAAGTCGATTATAACCCTTGTCTTGGTCACATCTCTTCACTAGCATATTTCCGGCGTGTCTGTCAAGGTTCAGGACTCTCACATCAAGTATTCCAATCCTATGAACCGAGGTAACCGTGAAGCTTCCTGGACCTAATTCTCCCGCATCAAAATCATGACCCACAAATCGCTGCAAGGAAGCAACCTTATAGGGCATGGAGGAGAAGGAGAAGGCGTCACTCACATGAAATTGAACATGTGAGATACTAACCAAAGCCGTTGGCGGAACACCAGAGAAGCCTTGGTAATCAAGAAGGTAAGCAGCTAACTCTCGAATACCGGTTTCACCAACAGGAATAGAATGCTTCATTCCCGGTTGCCCGAGCATCAAACTTCCAGACTTTTTAGGATTGTTAAAGGCTAAAGGCTCTTCATCAACCGGTTTAGCCACAGCAATGTTATGACCTTTTACTGTTTGCAAGAGATAAGCACCTCCCAAGCCACTTGGTAAAAGCAAAGGCTGAGCTCCAGAAACCATAGCCATAGTCACCTCAGCCACAAGGGCACGAACCGTGGGCACTCTCTGTCCACCAAGAATCTCAATCCGTGGAGCGGCAGTGGCTTTGGAATCTTCCTCCATATTAGCAGAGGCAGCTATGGAGAAACAAGGAGAGGAGACGCTTCGATGGATGTTGTCATCTTCAACCGTTCGATTAAACGTGAGATTAGATTCAAGGAAGTTGAAGTCAAGGTTGGTAAGGGATTGGAGTCTACATCTTTGTGAGGAACGGCTGAAGTAAGGAAACTGGTCACTGAATGGATCAATAGCCACGGCCATATCCGAGATCAATGCGGTCTTGCAGGTGATGATTATGGTCGTAGCCAAACAATTCATGCCAAAACTTTTGGCCCTTCCTATCTACACAATATACACAACTAAAATAATTTTCGTAAACCTACAAATCGACGTTTTATCTCGGATCTATATACAACCACAAGATTGTGTGTCCTTTGCTTCGCTTGAATCCATTTTGCCCTTTAAGTATTCGCTCCTCCAACCATGAATCGCCGCAGTTTTCTGCAACAAAATACAGAAGAAAAGATGATCACAAAGAAGCCCTAGAGAAGAATCATGAACAAGATTGCTTGGAGAAGAAGGTATGAACACGAACCCTGAATACAGATGAATAGCATTCAGGTAGAGACGGAGAAAGATTGAAAAAAAAGGGGGGGAGCGTCAGAGAAACCCGACACTGTCACCGGAAAAAAAATC